AAAGGTAATTGATCACAGAATCTAAATTATCTTGAAACCATTCAATTGAATTAGAATGAAGCTTACAAATTATGAAGAATTGGCGCAGAGAACATGTCGATTGATGTGAGCTTATGATCTGATAATCAGCTTCTTCGGTATCATCGGTAAAGCTTAAGCATGTCAATGGATGTTAACTTTCGGTGGAGAACGAGAATCATCGTTCTCATATGTTTTTTTTTTGTTTTTTTTATTTTTTTAAATTCACAACTTATGTGTCTTTACTTTTTTAAAAACATAATTTTAATTTTATTTGTTTACTTTATCTTCAATTTTTTAAAAAATATTTATAAATGTTAGAATCTTTGTTATGCTAAAAACAAATTCTCTTCAAAACTATATAGTAAAAGAACACTTATAATCACAAAAACAATTACACCACTTTTACTATTTCACATTTTAATATCTACTTTTACTTATATTAACATTACAAACCCATTTTATAATTAATACACCTATTTAAATACATTAAATCACATTCTTCTAAGTATTAAATAACAACCAACCAATTAAAATACCAATTATTAGTTATAAAGGATTTAATTTAAAAACCAATTTTATAAATTATGTATATAAAACATAATCAACTACTTAATAAGAAAACCGCACAAAATCTACGCCCGCGGGATACCGGGGGTTAAATCCTAGTAAAATAGAATAAAGGGAGTACTATTTATATTATTTTTTGAGTAACCAAACAATTTTGAACTTTAGACATATAATTTACAAGAACCAAATATAAAATAGATTAACTAGTCAGTTCTAATTGTCAATAATGAAACTCGTGATTTTAAAACTCTCTCATTTAAGTTCAAAGGCTAATAAAAACACACTGTGAGACACAAGTAAAACACATCTTCATGGCAATCTAATTTTTTTCTTTTAAGCTTTGATATCTTCCTAAAAATCTCTATTTGGTAGACAATTTATAATGATCCAATGGTTGAAAATTTCATCATGAGGTTTGAGAACTAGGGTTTTAAATCTTCTCACTACAATTTTGATTATGGTTAGGTATTGGAAATATATACTTTAAATAAGAAAAGTACCTATTTTCATAGATTTTAGAAAATATTTAGGTTTTCGGTCGAAATGACTAGATTAACAAGCAAATCTTTTTTGATGAAAACTGTTTTTTTTCTTGGACAAAAAAGTGATTTTGTTTTTTAATCTGGAGAGAAATAATGGTTTTATGTTAGGAAATTTCCCATGTTAAAAGGGTTGGAAACATTGACTCAGCTTGTATGTAAGATAAGTTAGATAACACGGTAAATAGAGCATTTTCATTGTATATCTCTATTTTTTCTATTTTTTTTTCTTTATTTTTTGCTCCAATGCATGTCTCTAAAATTAAGTTTCTTTTAAAATAGTGAAAAAATAGAAATGTGTATTGGATTACTCTAAAGTAAGAGGAAATTCTATTTTAGAAGTATGAATTGGAGTAAAATAGAAGAAAAAATAAAAATCCTCTAAAATAGAGAAAATAAATAAAGATAAGCATTGAAGATGGTTTAAAGAATTGCATATATAACGCAAACCTTCGACAACAAACCGGTAACAATACTTTTGTTTGGTAAATATCAATCTTTAGTTTTAAAATTAATACCAAAAAATTGTTGACTTTCCAACCAATTTTTTTTTTTTTTTTTGTAAACTTGTAGTTGAATGTGGTTGAATGAAAATGAGTTGTCGGAAATCTAAATTGATAAAGCAGTCCAATCGTTCGCAATGATAATGTTGATGTAACCCATAGAATCTCGCAAGTAGGCTCTACCACTTTTTATATTTAAGTTTATTTGCATGGTAGCTCAAGTTTTCATCACTCATCTCAACAAAATATCATCCTAGATAGATATCTGAAAACGAATTGTTATCTGTCGACGCATCTTTCTCCGGCACAGGAAATATATATTTCGTTTGAAACCTTCACCAAAAAAAAAAATCATTTCCTCCTATACTAGAATATTTTTTTTTTGGTAGGCTCATATACTAGAATATTAACGAATCTGGATTGAAATTGTGACACTCAAATTATGAAAAAAATAAAAATCGGTGCATGCCAAGTTTTGTAAATATATTATATACGTAAATTTCTTCTTTTTGTTATATATAGCGGTTAAAAGTTCTAACGTAAATTCTTAAGGTTATAGTGGCCGATCCAAGATCTTTTTTTATGTGGATCATACTAATTTTATTTAAATATTAAATTTTTATATATAGTTTTTATGTTATATGCATACAAAAATTATTGTTTTAAATAATTCAAGACAAATAAAATAAAATTTTAATATCGACATATAGAGAAAGAGGACGACCAAAAAGAATATCTCAAGAATATATAACTAATATAATAAAATATTTGGAGAAGTAATTGAAAATAAAAAGAAAAAGAAAACAAATTAAAAGGGTTAAAATTTGATTAAACTTTAAAATTGAATACAATATACAAGATTCAACTAACATTATTTAAGTCATTATACACATACTAGAAATTTAGTACGGGGCACATGTCCCACCTCCTTACCACATAGGTCTGCCCCCATATATATGATTTTCTATCATAATATCGTCAATAACTTTTCATAATTTTGTTTTATCCGCTACAACTCACACATATTTTTAAAATTCAACCTGGAATAAAAATTAGTATAAATGCCTATAAAGCCCTGTCTATATTTGGTGATATCGGATGACACACATAAAACTATTCATGTTTTCTTATAATTACGATGGATTGAAAATTTTGATTTGTTCCTTAAAAATTACCCATTCTCATAATTTCTTTATGATTATTATCTATAGTGTATTGAGGACTGGAATGAAGAGACTTGGAGGAACAAGAACCAAATGAACAAATCAAAGCATTTTCTTAACATAAATTTCAAACTAGAAGTTTAGTGGTTTCAACTATATCTACGTCTTTTTTTTTTCTCAAATTAAACCCATGATTTCGTTGTCAACTACATTTTTTAATTGTCGGCTTAACCCACGATTTGATATTTGAGTTTCAAGAAAGAAAGAAAAAATCCCACGATTTGATATAATCAATCAATTCAAATTTAATATCCATTAATTAGACACTTGAGACCAGTCAAGATATCATTACCATGTCCTTAGAAATGGAATCTGATCTCAATTGTGCGTTTCATTCATGTCACATCATTCAGTAACAAGATATTCCATCAAAGCACCACCTAGAGAACATCGTACAAAAGCTTTCTTAATCGTGGAGTAATAAAATGTAGTTCTCTTTTTTTTCCCAGAACAATAGATGATTACAGATAAAATGTGTAACCCTGTGAGTGACAACTAGGGTTGCACTTAGCTTGAACAAATAAATCTTCATCTTTTCTTTTTTAAAACCACTGTTTATGTTCATCTTTTCTTTCCTGTGCAATTAAGTACATCTAATGGGAACATAGACTTTAGGTAGTATAGTATTCGATCAATTTGGCAAATCCGGTGTGAACTGAAAAGAATTGAAAGTGACCCACATATATACATCGGAAACGTGCCTTGGGCATAAGGAGGATACTTGGTTCATTAATATACACAGATTGGAAATGTCACATGTTCTATATAATCTTATAAACAAATAAATATCTTGGGCCGTCTACACGAAATATCCATTTAAAACATGAATGTGGATGTTCTCGGTCTTGCGGCTTCTTAATTACTATATATATAAATATGTTTGTTTTCACTTATGAATAAATATAACTTATTATGATCGTCAAAACTCAAAAGTTATTCACAAGTGTATGTGATCATTAAATTAGGGTGACCCTAAATATGATAACACGATGACATTTATTTGAAACAACTTGATTGATAACATACTGAAGTATCTCACTGGCCGGCTACCATACTTCGAAATTTTAAGTATCAAACATATCTGATATTTTGGAGGTGGTTCTGGTTTTGCTAATCCTAAAGCAAAGTGTATCAACTATCAACCCACAGATTTTGGCTCTTTTTAACACCTCTAATACAAAATAAAAACCCACTAAAACTTTAACTCCTTGGTTCAATTTACTTTCATGATACATGGAGGTGGTTCTGGTCTTAAATTGGTCCAACAAATCATAGACAATAAAAATAGAAAAGAAAAACAAAGCATGTGATGATTAGAATAAGATCCAGCAAAATAACCGTTACCCTGAGACCTTGTCGGCTCATACGTGGTGACTTCCTCAATCACATGCAAATTTTTTCCCCGAGTTTTCTCGAATGCAAATATTTGCATCAAACAATGTTCCATTGTTGTTTTTTACTAGTATTTTGTCTTGGAACTTGTGAAATAAATTGATCAGTCAAATGGTTGGCTTCTTCTTCTGATGACTTCTGGAAGAAAATTCTTTGAAATGTTCGAGACCACGTGCCAACAAAACACTCTGTAACAGAAAACTACCAAACACATGATCTGATTTTTGCCTCAAAGGTGATATTTCCTTGACAACCTCTGTTTCAATGCTATAAAATTTGTGTAGAACAAAATTTTGATTACAGAAAAAACCTTATGGTCTGTAACATTTAATGAGCGATCTTTGAAGTTATGTAATTTACTTGCTAAACTAAAGCAAAGCATAACTGCAAAAAACATAGCTCCTAACATTTGCATCATGTTTCTTTGAACTCAGTACTTTAATTCCGATGTTATTTTTTTTTTCCTATTTGTTGTATAACAAGTAAATAGAAGGTGAAAGTTAGAGTCCAAGAAGACACTTTTTTCAGATTAGAGATGCTGTTAACCCAGACTCAACAGTCTCTGAAACGGTCATGGTGATCGAACATAAGATTGAGAAGTGTACCAAGTTTGGAAACAGAACCAATGGTAAGGAACTTTAGAAGTCAGTGCAAAACTAGTTTGTAGCCACAATAAAATGATAGTGTAGCTACTTCCATAAATAAACGTGTAAGAACAATGTTTGTTGCAGACCTAGCTAATAAGCCTTACACTCCTCCAATAACCTGCTTCATTTCAAAACGCTAAAAACCCTAATCAATAGAAGTGTAATACTATGTTTTTCCACTCATTTACGAGGCAAAAGAGTATCAAACTCTTCTTTCTGGATTGATTTAGAAATGTGTTCTTTTGAAATAGACATATGTTCTTTTATCGGATTGAAATCCAACAATGCTCAAGTCTCTGCGGTTTCTTCTTTCCTTATAGCTTTCAGTCTTTCTTGAAGTTTCTTGCTTTGTTCGAAATTTACCTTCCGCTTCACAGCTTTCTGCAAAAAATTGTATAGATATCTCTAAGACAATGTACTCCACCCCCAAAGAAAGGAAAACCTTGAGCTGAAACTGAAACATACTTCATCGGCTATTAATAACTTACCTCTTGGCGGAAACATCGATCAAGCTTTACTTTCAGCTCTGTACATTCTCCGAAGAATTTCCCAATCGGATGATCTATATGACACCTTTGAAATTCCTCAATTATCTAGCAAACATATGACAAACAGAAAGAAAAAGTAAGAACAAACAAAAGAGTTCAAATTGATTTCTTCTACAAGGTTTGCTCTTTTCCAAATGCAGTTATGTAGCTAGACTCCATTCAATTTTTAAATTGCATTGCAAAGATTTACTAAAGCTAGAGATGATATTGCATATATCTACAACATCGCTTATCTCTTTTGCATACAGCTCTAAATACACTGTTAAAAGATTGATAAGAAACTAGGATCATATTATTCTCAAAGAAGCAGTCACATAGAGGATTGAAACTACAAATACAGTAAACTCTCACCTCCAGACACATTGGATGTCTATGTGGTGTAAGTGGAGGATGCATCTTTCACTTCTTCTGCAAGAAAAAAAAAACTCTGAATCTCTTGTAATGGATGGTAAAAATCAGATCTTTCACTTCTCTTCTAAAAACCCACAAGGAAATCACTACAGAACCAAGCAAAAACTCCCCAGTTTATAAAGCCTTATGTTGAAACTGTAAGAAAATGGAAGATTTGGTTTTATTTCTCATACTAACATGTCACAAGTCATTGTAATCTGAAATTTCAGATCTCAATATACCAAGAAGGTTTGAAATCATAAACTCGAGATTCAAAACAAAATTAATCGAAGACGAATCACGAGAAGAGTAAATTACCTTGATTAGGGTATCTATAAGCTGAGAGAGAGGATTCGTTTCGAGCTCGGAGAATCGATGGCGAAGGGAAAGAGAGGATGATGAGTCAAAATCTCGTTCAGACTTCAGAGCATAGAGACAGGTCAACGTTTTCAGGTTAATGGGCCTATTTAACTTTACTAGTTAATGGGCCTTATCCATTAAGTTCTAAAACGCAGCGGTTTGTATGTTTTGGATGAGAAAATCAGACATCAGAGGGAACTCTTGGAGGACACAGAGAAGCGCAAATATACGAGTGTGTGAGAACGAAGGAGAAGAAGAAACCACAGGTAAGTTGAAGAATATGTGTTCGATTCTCGAGAAAACGTAAAAAAGTTGAAATTTGATTTCACAACATATCTATCTCTTGTGGGTGATTTCATTTATGAATTGTGAGCTGAAAAAGGAGAAAGCTTTAAGATTTTGGGCTCTGAATTGATTTCTTCAGGATGCTTAGCTTGAGATATTCATTACCTTATCTTCTTCTTCAAACAAGGGAATCATCAACTAAGCTCTTCTCCAAAAGGCCTAACAATGTTGTGGTTCGTATTTATCTTTCTTATAGCTTCTTTTAACTAACATTTTGACATTATCTTGGTTTCGAATTTTCACCTGTTTGTGTGTTCGAATTGAATAATCTTTTTCAGGTTTGTGCGGCGAGAGGTCCAAGACCTCGGTCTCCTCGAGTATGGAAAACAAGGAAGAGGATTGGAACTGTCTCCAAGGCTGCTAAAATGATTGCTTGTGTAATGCTCTCTTTTTTATATTCTCTTCATATGGTTTTGTGTTCTGCAAAATCTCTTTTTAGAGTTACTGAATATTGCTGTGTACAGATAAAAGGATTGTCGAATGTTAAAGAAGAAGTTTACGGAGCGCTTGATTCCTTCATTGCTTGGGAATTGGAGTTCCCTCTTGTTATAGTTAAGAAGGCATTAGTTATACTTGAAGATGAAAAAGAGTGGAAGAAGATTATTCAGGTTTGTTTATTAAGCAAGAAGAGCTCTTTTATTCTTCTTGTTTTAGTTGGATGAATGTAGAATAAGTTTATGGATTTTGTTAGGTGACAAAATGGATGCTGAGTAAAGGCCAAGGAAGAACAATGGGAACTTACTTCTCATTACTAAATGCTTTAGCAGAAGATAATCGGCTTGACGAAGCTGAGGAATTGTGGAACAAATTGTTCATGGAACATTTAGAAGGAACTCCTAGAAAGTTCTTCAACAAAATGATCTCTATATATTACAAGAGAGATATGCACCAAAAGCTCTTTGAGGTACACTGAAAATCTTTTTTTACTATTGCAACTAGCAGTAGAGTCTTTCAGACAAGTTGATGTCTAAACTATTGAGTGTTATCTTAGGTATTTGCTGACATGGAGGAGCTTGGAGTGAAACCGAACGTTGCGATTGTGTCTATGGTTGGAAAAGTGTTTGTGAAATTAGAGATGAAGGATAAGTACGAGAAACTGATGAAGAAATATCCTCCACCATCAGTGGGAGTTCAGATACATCAAAGGAAGACGCGGTTAAGGTCAAGGCAAAGCAGCTAAATGAGTTAAGCGAAGGTGAAGGTGGTTTAAGCAGCGACGAAGATAAGATTGATACTGAGATTGAGAGTAATTCTAAAATGTTGTCAGATAAGGAACCAGAGCAAGATGGTGAGGATCTTAGTGAAGAGGAAGAAGATGAAAAAGAATTTTTGGGTGGGAATCAATGACAGATTGGAACTTCTAGAGAACCCAGTCTTGATCATTTGGACTCTTCTTGACTTAAAGTGTTTGCTTCATGAGCTTTTGAGATCGTATCTACCGTTGAATCATCTATAAGGAAAATAGATAGACGGCCAAAGTTCTTCAAAGAAGCTTTCTGGGGCTGAGCTTCGGATTCTGACGAAAACATGACCAGAAAAGTTTTGAACTATTTAAGCTTAAGAGTCAAAACAAGATATAGATTTGAAGAGTCAACTAAATAGAGTATTAAACTCAGCAAAAGATTAAATACTGTAAAATCTTTGAGTACGACTGTGTAAGCTTTGAAAACAAAAAATATTGTATAATTTCAGATCACAGTTAACTACTTTTTGTTTTTTTACTCTTCATCTGATCCCGACTCTTCAGAACTCGAATCCTTCTTGTTTACTTTCTTCTTCGACCCTCTCTTCTTATCTTCCTCGTCTTCGCTGTATTCGCTTTCGTAATCCTCCTCTTCGATCTCATCTTCGTCGTCCTCCAATCCTTCTTCTGCATTCTCACCCTCCAAATCACGGGTTCTTTTCAAAACCTCGACTTTCAGTGATGTCTTCTGGTCACAACCGATCCAACTATCGCTTAGGCAGAAGCACGTCAAGTTATAAGTACCTTCTAGAGGTGCTAAGAGTCTCCCCATTACCAATCTTGACCCACTTTTAACCTTCTCAACAGCTTCTTTAACTGCATCATTTGTTTCCTTGACGCTTGCTCCCAAAGGTTCCATTGTCTCAGTAATAGCATTCGATGCAGCGGCTATAGCTCCTGCTTCATCCATGAAACTAACCTTCTGAAAGAACCAGACATTGTTTGAATCCGCAAGAAGAACCCAAAAGTTTTCCTCTTTCTGGAAAGGAAAGTATGGTGAGTGAGGAATAGCGCCTATGAGTCCATTGGGACGTTTTAGAGTGATCCAAGCTTGAACTGTCATAATATCGCCTTCTTGAATACCTTCTTCGCCTTCTGTTTTACAAGTTATGTCGATTTTAAGAGAAGGAATCATTTCTAACACTTTCTCGATGTCTTGAACATCGGTTTCTGACAAACTCGCAACCTCTCTGAGCAGTTTAGAACGTTCTTCCAAGCTCAGTTCTTGAAACTTTGGAATGTTTTAACCTGCAACGCTATCGATTTAGCGATAGACTCATTGAAATGAGGGAGTTGCAAGAAAGAAGCAATGTCTTCTGAAGATGACTTCCTCGCACTAAGAGGAACAGCCTGCAATCAAACAACAACTATAATTAGGCTGAAAAATCTTGAAATATTTGGGCAAAAGTAAAGTTGGAAACATCTTAATACCTGAACAATGCACTGAGATAGCTCCATTACTCCAAGCGCAGGACGTAACCATCCACGCCCTTGTTCATTGCGGGGTATAACCGCCATCTGTAAGAAACTCACAATATCATATAGTTTCGTGTTAGAAAATTTCCTATGCTAAGCACAAAGTCGAAAACATTTTCACACCTTCTGTAAATTAGGAGACTCAAGTCATCATCAACTTTGTAATAAGCTTTATTTTATTAGATACAATGTGCTATGCAAAATATAGAGACTATAAAAGACCTTCATCAAATCTTCAAGGAGGCGAGGCGCAAACTCTAGCACACGCCTGAAATCACGTTGCAGAGTCAGAGACAGAATTGATGATTCACGAGTTAACTGTTTCTGTATCAAAAGCTCAGTCTGTTGCAGAGAAAAACGAATGGGAAAAAAAGTTAGCACTTTCAGAATTTTATCCAATACTTTTGTGTTACTCATGTGTTAAAAAAATCAACCTTGATAATTGCAGGATTCTTTTTCCAAAACTTAGCTTCCTCTTGCTTCAACTTCTTAGGATCCAGATTTAGCTCGCTTTTGACAGACGTAAAGAGTTTCTGCAGAGATTCATCAGTCGGTTTTACGAACTGGAATCTCTGCATATTCAGCTGCTTTGATGAAAATTTCCATAACTTTGCTTGGAGTTAAAGTGGGTTGCAATAACTCAAAATATGCTTGACGAGTTTGAAGCTTAACGTGATTCCCAGTATACTTGGATGATCTCCAGAGATAGATTGAAGCGATCACGAGTGGCAAGAGAATACATAAACCAACTGTACACAACAACAATACCCCACCAGATTCTCCATTCATGTTTAAAATAAATTGAGGAAGAGCAATTCCCATTGTATAACCCTGCATCAATCACATTTACAAATATTTCAGCTATCAATTGAAGACACTAAAGCCTATGTTTTTGCTACAAGAACATGAGATTATGGCCTTGATTGTTTCAAACACAAATTTGTGCATTTGCGTTTGTTTTAACATGTGTTCACAAACTATATTTGCAAATTGTAAACTCAAAAGCTTCCTTCTTATTTGCATATAAATTTTGTCATTACCTGCCTACCATCCGGATGACCGTACTTCTCAAAGTTTTCACGGGATTTTGGATCAGTCAAAGCTTGGTAAGCTTTAGCTATGGACTCCACAAAATATTTATTGGCCTCTGTACAGTTACAATACACACATAAGAAATAATAAGCACACACAACAATAAATCAAAGGAAAGAAATCAAGAACGAAGCATTTTTCGACCTGGATCCGGATTTTTATCAGGATGGTATTGAATAGAGAGTCTTCTATATGCTTTCTTGATTTCTGAATCTGTAAGCACCAGGTTCCAAGCCAAGTATACCGAATGGCTCAAAGAGTTGACTCTATAATATTTACACAAGAAGCAAATGAAATTCTCAACTATAAGCAATCTCGGATTAAGCTTGAAGAGAGAATTATTAGTTATTACCTCACGGCTCATGTTCTTAGTGTAATAGATCAAGAAGATCATTACAATCCAAAGTAGCACAACTGTCAAGTTGCTACATGAAGTGAAGCTAGATATCTGCAAAAAACAAAATCAAACAAGTTAAAGAAGTAGGAACATAAACTAATCATTATTCAAAAAGAGTTAGTGATGGAAAAAAGAAAAACTAACTCTTTGAGAAATGGATCTCTTGTACTTCCCATGAACGATCACATTCAAGACATTGACAATGTATACTCCGTTGTTTCTTCGAAAAAGCACGGCTTAGCTTCACAAATGTATAAGGCACCAATGGAATTGCCATCATTGTCAAAATAAAAATGGGAAACAAAACGCTATTCTCTTCTGTTTCTGCCATCTTTTAGACCCTTCTTGTTGAAGAGCCCTTTAGATCAGAGATTCTGCAGGAAACAAAATTTCTTTGTTATGCTTGCATATGAGATTAACAACATGATTAATCACAAGTAAAATTTGATTCAATATAGATTTTCAATCACATCTGAATAAACATGAAGGAGATCAAGAGGAGACGTGTGCATAGTTCCAGAAAATTTGTCTAATTTACAAAGAACAACAACGTAAAGACGTACGAATCAAAGGAAAAATCAGGTAAAAATTTGGATTTTCGATTGCATGCTAATCAAAAAGCGAAAGGAAGCAAGAAAAATTTTACCTTGATCAGAGAAGAAATTGAAGAAACAAAACTGCTGACTTTAGGAATCGAATTACGAAACTGAAGAAGAAGAAGAAGAAGAAGAAGAAGAAGAAGAAGTGAGGTTTATGAGACATTCTCTCATGAAGAAGAGAAGGTGATGAATCATTACAGCCAATGAAAATACGACACGTAACGATGATATTGAGACATAACGCAGCGTTTTGTCTGTTTACTGTTTAAGGTAATAAGTAACGACGTTTACTGTTTAAGGTAATAAGTAACGACGTTGACTGATTTAAGAACAATGAAGCGCATGCGTATCAGAGTCTCTGTGCACTGAGCAGCAGAGGATAACTCACACCCTCAAACGTCAAGGCCAAGATTCAGGCAAGTTTTCATCTTGATATGTGTTCGCTGTTCGGTATCTTCGGTGTAATGGTTAAATCGCCTAAAGCCTTGGCCTTTTGTTGTTCTTGACCAATTTCCTTAAACCCTTTGAGCTTTAAGGATGAAAGTTTGGCCTAAAGTGTGGATTTTGGGGTTTGCTTAGCAAAAACGACAGATTTTTGAATTGGTACAAACGAAAGTGAAGCACTTAAATGGTTCTTCTCCACACAAGTGTTGGATTCTTCAAACGTTTCTCGACTTCAGCGACTCAATCAACATCCTCTGCTTCCGATTGGAAAACTCAACAGACTCTGTTTCGATTAGCCACCGAAATCTCTTCTATTCTCTTACAACGTCGCAACTGGATCAGTCATCTCCAATATGTTAAGTCCAAGCTCCCAAGGTCAACACTTACTTCACCGATATTTCTCCAGATCCTCCGTGAAACTAGAAAATGTCCTAAAACCACTCTTGATTTCTTCGATTTTGCCAAAATCCATCTCCGGTTCGAGCCGGATTTTAAGTCTCATTGTCGAGTAATTGAAGTTGCTACTGAATCAGGTCTGTTGGAACGAGCAGAAACACTCTTGCGTCCTCTGGTTGAAACCAATTCTGTGTCTTTAGTTGTTGGATCGATGCATCGGTGGTTTGAAGGTGAAGTTTCACTCTCTGTCTCGCTTAGCTTAGTGATTGAGTGTTATGTCCTTAAAGGGTTGTTACCAAAATGGCTTGGAAGTGTTTGATTCGATGAGAAGATTGAGACTTTTTCCTTCTCTTCAGTGCTTATAACTCTCTTCTTGGTTCTCTGGTTAAAGAAAATCAGTTTAGAGTGGCTTTGTGTTTGTATAGTGCTATGGTTCGAAACGGAATTGTCTCCAATGAGTTAACTTGGGATTTGGTTGCTCAGATTTTGTGTGAACAAGGGAGATCCAAGAGTGTTGTTAAATTGATGGAAACAGGTGTTGAAAGCTGCAAGATTTACACCAATCTTGTGGAATGTTATAGCAGAAATGGAGAGTTTGATGCCGCGTTTAGTTTAATTCATGAGATGGATGGCAAGAAACTGGAGTTGAGTTTCTCTTCTTACGGTGGCGTATTGGATGATGCATGTAGATTGGGAAATGCTGAGTTGATCGATAAGGTTCTTGGTTTAATGGTGGAGAAAAAGTTTCGTACTTTAGGTGATTCGGCTGTGAATGATCAAATGATTGAAAGACTTTGCGATATGGGGAAAACGTTTGCCTCTGAGATGCTTTTCCGTAAAGCCTGCAATGGTGAAACAGTGAGATTGCGGGATTCGACATACGGTTGTATCTTAAAAGCTCTGTCAAGAAAAGAGAGAACAAAAGAAGCTGTTGATGTATATCGAATGATTTGTCGTAAAGGTATTACTGTACTTGATGAGAGTTGCTATAACTGAATTCGCAAATGCCCTTTGCAGAGATGATAATAGCTCAGAGGAAGAAGAGGAATTGCTTGTAGATGTTATAAAGTGCGGTTTTGTTCCTTGTACACACAAGTTATCAGAAGTTTTAGCATCTATGTGTCGGAAAAGAAGGTGGAAATCCGCAGAGAAGCTTCTTGATTCGGTTATGGAAATGGAGGTTTATTTTGATTCTTTTTCATGTGGGTTGTTGATGGAACGTTACTGCAGAAGCGGGAAAGTAGAGAAAGCACTGGAACTACATGAAAAGATAAAGAAGATGAAAGGAAGTTTAGATGTTAATGCTTATAACGCGGTTCTTGATCGGCTTATGATGAGGCAAAAAGAGATGGTGGAAGAAGCAGTTGGAGTGTTCGAGTATATGAAAGAGATGAAATCAGTGAACAGCAAAAGTTTTACAATTATGATCCAAGGGCTTTGTCGTGTGAAGGAGATGAAGAAAGCTATGAGATCTCATGATGAAATGTTGAGAGTGGGTATGAAACCTGATTTAGTAACCTATAAGCGTCTTATCTTAGGTTTCAAATGAAAACTTTTGGTTCAGTCTGAGATTTGAAGAAGATCCAAATGAATCAAAACATTTGAGTTATACAACAAGTCTACTCTTCTGTAAGAAGAACGTTACAACAAAATACCATAGAGGGTTTTCAAGATCGAAGTTTCAAAAATTTGTCAAACAAGAACAAGGGGGGAAATGTTATAATGAATGAATACAATAATAAGATTTGTTTGATATATATAATGACCCTATTATATAGTTGATTATTTATTGGTCAAGAGGCAGCCACTCCATTTCTAGTTCTAGTTCACCAGATTCAACATTCTGAAGCTTGATCTGAACCTCTTGTTTCACTTTACCATCTGCAATGTTGATGATGCTATCTTCTATAAGAGCATTGTCAGTGCGATTTCAGCCATTTTCCAATCTGCATATCTCCAAACATTTCAGGATCTCCAAAAGCCATTGCAGATGTAATCAGAGGTTGGATATCAATCTCAGCTTCTCCCATTATGTCATCAGCAGAAAATGTGTCATAATCAAACACTTGCTGCAAAATGTCAGGAGAAGACATAAAATGTAAGGGAAAAACTTCTGTGATAGATTCATCAAGAGTAGAAACTGATTTTGGAAATTTTAGACCAAGATTTTTTACCAATTTCACTGAGCCATAGTTATGAGGAACAGAGAGCATGAGTTCCTCGTTCCAGACCGGGTTCAAGTTGCTCTTCACTACAGTAGATTGAGCCTTCTGGTAATATGGTGATAAAGATCAGAAAAGATAGATGACAATAATGATCAATTAAACAATAGTAAGAACTAAACAAAGTATTCACTTAATTACCTGTTGTCCTAGAGTCAACACAACATAGGGATCACTTGACATCATATCTCGGACGGCTAAATTGGTACCCTTTTTAATAGTCACCTTCAACAATCCAATAAACTCAACCATGCCTTCAAGTTGCTGTCATTGTTTAAATTTACAAAACCGGGACGAAATGTGTTAAACACCATGAATCAGAAGACTTAGCAGTATCCAAGTTCAAAGAGTTTGCTCTACTTGATGCTAGCAGTGATATGGAAGAGATGAAAAACAAAGAAGCTTTACCGGCTGTTGCGATGATGAATTAGTGCGAAAGCTATCAATAATCTTTTTAGATATACTTGATGAAAGATATGGTGTACTCTTTGTACTAGAGCCCCTCACAGATGTGATCCGCAAGCTTGGTTTCAGAAACTCTTGGTGCTCATATTTCGACCTGAAATCAAGATTTGAGGATGACCATTTTCACTACTATATTACTGATGGTATATACACATTTATCGGGTTTTCTATATCCTACCTAATGAACCTCATACGCTGGTCATGACTAGCATCAGGTCCAGGCTTAGAGCTTCCTTCCGGTATAAACGCCTCGTAAATTGAATTTGCAGAGGCATTTCCTCCAATTTCAATCATAGAATCGACTTCTTCATCTGACCATTCATCCAATGTCACGGATAAGACCTGGAAAGTTGAAAAACATAAATACACTTACAAAAGATTCTGTCAAGAAGAAGTGGTGAAGCAATCCACATCGAGATAACAAATCCACAAGATTATTTGAAAGTCATCTTAATGCAATCCAATGGCAATATTTCACCAAAGAAAAACCAAAAGTAGAAGGAGAAGCAAAGAGTCACAACCTTTGAGATATGAGTGCCAAGGCTTCTGTGCACACCACAACATTTTAAGCATATAAACACTCCTATATTAGCTGACCTGTAATAAGCCACCATTGCCTGATTAAACAACCAAAAGTTTTTGGTATACAAAAAAACGAAACAAACACAAAATGCACAAGAAAATCTAATGGCAGGAAAACAAGAACATAACATAAATCAAATTGCTTAGAGAAGCAGACAATATTTAGTGGAAGAAAACATAAAAATGGCAAAACTTACGCCCACTTAGGATCAGGAGCGCCACAATCAGCGCAGACTCGGTTATCAGATTGAGTTAAAAGATCCCTTATTCTTCTTTTACCTGTGAAGCAACAAGGTGAATAAATCAGTCACAGCCAGAAGTAGAAACATGATATGACTAAATGAATACACAAAGACTTAGAAAAAATGGTTACCTGAGCCAGACTTAGAATAACTCATTGCTCTTCTAAAAAGCTAACAATCATCAAACAGAATCCTACACAGACAGAGCAAAGAAAAAACAACACAATAATATGTTAGGAAAATATCAAAACTTTCATGATTTAAAAGTAAAAGCCTATAATAGAGATCAAACTCTGCTTTGCAAATTTCAAAAGCCGAACATTTTGGGGGAACTACGACCAAGAACATATCGTTTTCAATATCCATTTGTAAGATCATCAGTATCGATTCATGTTCCCAAAATCAAAATTCAAAATTAAAGGAGAGACGAAACAAGAAAAAATAATCCAATCTTGTTCCATTCCTGAAACCATTTCAACGTCAAAAACATGACCGACAGGGAAAAAGTCGACTTACAGACAAAGAAATTCAAACTCGACGGGTACACAAAACCGATGAAGAAGAGATCAGAAACGAAGAAGAATATGTACGGAAATTCGAACAAGAAGATAGATTAGATTAGATTAGATTAGATTGGATTGGACGTTCTTACCAAGGAGCCGGAGAGAGAGAGAGATGTTCTTGGAACACAAATTCAAGATGATACAAATAATAATAATTATCTAAAAAGACAACCAGTACGTGCTTTTTCTCTTTTCTTTTAAAATTTAATTTTCCATTTTTTTCATCTAACTGTAAAGTTGTGAAAGTTGTAACGATGCCATGTTAAGGGTCAATTACCAAAATACATTTCCTTGTCGTTGACTCGTTTCGTTTCTAAAGTATCATTTAATTTTATTTATAAAAAAAAAAAAAAACTATTTTGTACATTATTTTCAATTTTTCAGCATTTGTTTTTATTTTCACTATGTTGAAATTCTGTCTTATTTCATTTCATATTTAAGATTTATTTCGATTTTATGGCCAGCCTATTTCAGTTTTTTTAAAAATTTTGTTAGACCTTTTAACTTTCCACAAACACTGATAAAGTGTTAATAATAATTACGAAACTTGTTTGATCTAATAATGAGCTAATAATTATCTCAGTTGATTTGGTTCAACGAAAGCGACACTCTTGATAACTCTTTTAAGACTAAACTGAGAGCAAGTAAACTCTGAAATCCTTTTGATTTGTCTATCACCATAATCTATAAGCAATACTACAAAACTGAAATACGCATAAACCAAAAAAAAAAGAATCCGTCATAGTGAATTCTTCTTCTTCAAGCAGATTTCAACTTGTTCGATGCTGCTGCAAGTTGAGATAGTGTTCTGTGTCCGACGAACAACAGAAACACTCCCAACAAAGAAAGTGCCTTGAGAGTCGTGAACAGATCCAACTGTAGAGTGCAAAAAAAAACAAAACAAAGAAACTATGATGAGCACTTTGATGCAATGGTCCTTATAGTTTAAACAAGAATAGGTTATGAAAACTTGCCTTTAACCAGAAAAGCACATAGAGAAGCAAAACAGCTCCAATTCCGCCGTGGAAAAGTAAAGCCGATATTGCAGATCCAGTCGACGATGGGAAGCTCTTTATGTTCACTCCCAGCCGCGTAAGCTGAAACATAAAAGGTTTATATGAGTTGTTTAGGATATGTAGTGATGTTTTTCGGATACTATTTACAAGTAAAGGGAGACTGACCCCAATCAGGAAACCGATGAATGGGAGGACGATAACACCCAAGAAAACTAGTGAGAGCTGCTTTGCTGGAAGCTTTTCAGGAATCCTGAATATGTGTGAGATTTCAGCTTTTGGTCCATATCTTGAGTAAGGTTCAGTAGATTGTAGAGGAGGACGAGGCGCCTTCTCTGGACGCTCTGGTAGGTCTAGTTCAATGTGGCCAATATTACTCAGTAAAGAGTTCTCCTGGAAAAAAGAGAAAGGAAGATAACATTATTTAAATTTCCGAGACTTAAATCAACTGCATTGGACCTGAAAGAACAGTACTTACCATAGAAGCATCTCCAATGGTTAGCTGGATCTCATATTTACCAGAGAGGTAGTAGAGCTTCTCAACCAATCCAAGAAAATCCTGAAGGTAAAAATAACATAAACCATTAATATTGTATTTAGGACGTCATTAATTTCACCAAACTTGACCGTAGCAAAATGAAGATAATGAAGGTAGGTCAACAGATATATATATATATATATATTGGCAAAAGCAATTCAAAATGAAGTTTAAGGAACTTAACTAGAACTAATTCAGCCTTCTTGCCAGAAGTTTTCACGAGATAGATATGCTCGACCTGTGACTCATGTTTCAGCTTGAAAAATGCCTGCATGGAAGTAAGCAAGTCAAGAAAGTGAACAGAACAGAATAAAACCATTGATGAAGCGGAAATAAAGAATGAACAAACCTGGTGTGGCTTAAACGCATTGCCAATTGGAGTAGTTAACTGGAACGACAGGCGTAGCTTTTGAAGGTGGTTTGCTGATAATGATACCGCTCCATCTTTAGTTAAATCTAGCCTACAAATGTTTCAAAGAGAAACAAAAAGATGACAATAAGCACAACAAAAGAAAAAGTTGAAAATATATATTGTAAGCAACAAATGGTACAGATTTCCTATGAACACGGTTAAGCAATCAATCAAAGTAAGCAAAAAAGGAAGTTGTTTAACAACAATACAGGTGACATACTTTTTCTGAGATTCAACACTCCCAATGTCACTGTCAACTACAGCGATTTCTGCATTTTCAATGCTAATAACTCCTGTGGCAGCTATAGGCACTTTTGTTTGAGCTTCAGTTATGTATACTTTCTCATGTGCTGAATCATCCAGCAAAATCTGCAGAAGAAAAAGCTTATCATGTTATCATCAAACTTTTGTATGAAGTTTTTTTGGAATAATAATAACAAACAAGTGCAATACCTCAAATACAAATGTATATTTTCCAACGTCAAAGTTCTTGGGAAAGGAGTCCAGGAAGTACGTTGCACTGTCAGCGTCAAACTTAAGCTCCTGTACCCAAAAATGTAATGGAAAATTGTAAACCGGCCTAATGCAGAGAATAAGGAACATTTTCTATTGCAAGCTCAAACAGTCAAAGATACATTATTTACCTGGTTATTAATTACAGATGAATCCACTGATTTAGAACTTAGAGCTTGTGTGAGCTTCACACTAAGAGCTGGTGCCTTCGAACCCAGTACAGTGCTAACTTTAACCTAGTTCCAGATAAAAAGAATAAAATATAAAATAATATACAAAAAAAAACGTAATGGATGAAGGCTCAACTAAAATGAGTAATTATCAGATAGATGAGAGATCTCTACAAAGAATATGGAATGCTATGAGCCTGAGCAATCTCTAAACCGTACAAATCCAACAGCTATAGCCAGAAAGTCCAAAGTTAAGACTTTCACTACTAAAAGTCACATCTTGATGCAAGTTTATGAATGGGGTACCTTTAGAGGCTCTTTCTTTGTCAATGAAATGACAGTAGATGGAAGAGACAAGATGAGTGGAACAGAAAACCTGAAATGATAGAGAATGACCATAGAACAAATTATTGTTCCCATAGAATGATAAAGTTTCAGCAAGAGCATAATAAATGAGGAAGTGGTTGAAATTTCACGAGTGTTTGAACTTTTGTGGTAATCTTTCGTTCAAATTTCTAGGATGTACCACCAAAAGACCTTCATAACTATTTAACAATGTAAAGAGAAACAGTTTTTCTCTTTCAAAACCAACTGTTAACACCGAAGAATGAAAGTAACAGTAAGTCCTTGTAACTCTTATGTCTTTCACACCACTCAATTCAAGGTTACTGAAATTATATCTAAGATGTGTACTGGAATAAGCTAATAAGAAAATGCATAAAGGGGGCGTGAAAGTAGCATTACTTGTTGTCTTCCAAACAAGCTAGTGCATCTATTTGGTTGAAGAAGTCCTTGGCATCACCAGGAATTCCGACACCCAGAAAGAATTTGGCCAGACCAACTATCTTATCACCTGGCAGCTGCATGAGATAATGGGAATGCGAAGGTAAAATATCAACACATATGTCAGAATAGGACACCGTGAAATATGGGTATTACATACGTTCAATCCTGTGGATTCTGATGCTGCAAATGACGTGAGCCCTCTAATTACTGATGCAGTTGTTGAGATCGGGCCTTGACTTGCATCAACAGACTTCTCATCGAAATAAAATGTCCCATCGTCTAAAGACCAAAAATATAATTCAAAAGCAAAACCAAACTGGAAAAAACTATGAAGTGAGTGAAGAATATCCTATGCATATACATAGGATAGCAAGTAATTTACTGCATACCAAATTTTTGGATACTGTCAAAAAGCTTCACGATTCCCTTCTTCAACGTCTGGATCTACCAGATGACAAACATGAATGACGATCATTACATGAACAGATTAATAAATCAAACTACCAGATAAAATGGCAAAAAAAAATGAAAAGAAACCACCAGAATAACCAAATAAGAAGTTAGCTAGACATGAATAATTATCGAAACACAATTCTTATATAATTATAATTATCAAAACACAACTCTTTATTTTAGTTACTAAGAGATTCCAGAACCAAAAGTAAATCAACACTAAACCAAGATATCGTAGTGATGTCTGATCAAAATATATTCTCAGGAAATCAGTAGTAGTGGATCAAACATCTCACTTACCAAAGATGGATCAAGCTCTGTAGGTGCTAATGAAATCACTCCAGCAAGCGTTTCGTAGGCTAAGCCTGAGAAAAAAATCTTACGTTGAGAAGAATGAGAGAAATAACATAGAGCAAAAGAAGTGAACAAGCTGAAGCAATAAAGGAAGTGATACATAATCTAAAAGGTTCATCATTCACGTTCAACATTGTGAGGTAGGAAAGGGTTAATCTAATATGTATTACTAACCAGCAGCAAAGGTGCTTGATTCTGGATTGTTGGAGCTGTAGCGCCATCTTCCATCACTCTGGCTAAGAGCCTGATACAAATGCACTATATCAGCCAAATAATACTCGGAAAACAATCTAAGTAGTATTAATATATAACTGAATCTTGGTAACATATCCAAATATATATATATCAAAAGACAGTGTACAATTTCACATCTGATAGTTCAACAACATCAAAATTGAAGGTCAGCTAAACAAGTAAACCTTGATGGAACGGAAAATGGCTTCGGCATCTCCAAGACTTATATCAGTTCCAGGAAATTGCTCCTGCATTCATGGAAAGATAAGGTCAAACCTGAAGCCAGGAAGAAGCAGGAAGCCAAATCTATGGAGTTGAATAAAATAAAATAATCACGATCACAGGTACCTTCTGCAAAAACATTTTCATACTTCAATGTAATGAGCGAAAAAACTAAGAAAACTCTCGTAGAAATACTCTATGGAAAAGGATGTAGTTAATCCCCTCAAGACGTCACCAAAATCAATTCGTATTTACCTTAACCTAGCACCAAGCCTCTGACAGAATAATAGTAAGTCAAGCAATAACTTCGCATCTTTAACACCAGCTTGAAGTTGAGAAACAATGTCCTTCAAAAGAGGAGAAGAAGAAAGATAAGGTTACTTTAACCGCTTAATGGTAAAATACCATTGTGATACTGAGAGAAGACAATTGTTTACCTTAGGACCAGCTTCACCAATTTTACATTTCAGAATCTCATTAACGTTTAACGCATTAAATGCATCCTTAAGAGTAGAAGAAGACGACCCAAGAACTTTAACGACATTCTCACAAGTCGCTGAGCTAAGATCAGACTTTTTATCAATTCCAAGAATCTCCAATGTCTTTAATGCTTCATATGCCTCCTCCAAGCTGATCGTAACAAAAATGAGATAAGTCCGTACAAAAACCATATACTATACACAAAACAATTCATGAACTTTAACTAGCAACCAATAATGTAATCAGTGAAATGTGGTAACAAAAAAACTCTTAAGGGAAAGAAACCAACCTTTTGTATGATCCATCGACTGGTACGAAGACATCCAGAGCCGCAGATCGGTGAGCGTCTGAGATCGGCTGGAAAACAGAAGCAGCACCGCAAATTGCTACGGTGAGTATCAAACCAGAAATCGTACGCCACCTCCGGCCATCATCACTGCATAAGAAGAGAAAACTCAATCAAAATCCAAACAATTACACATCTACGACGAATGGTGGAAAAATCAGCCAAAGACAAAGAAGCTTAAGCCACTTACAGATCGGAAGTAGATCGAATCGGATCAGAGGTCGACGAGTCTCAGTAGTCAACGGAGACTGAGGTTTGAGGTAAGCCTAGGATCGATCTATAGCTTTTGAACCAGACGACGAACCAGAGAAGGCTAAAAAATGAGTGTGAGTTTGATGACAGTACCTGGTATTACCAATTTACCCTCGCTTTGAACTTAAATTACATTTCGTGAAACGACGACGTATCATGAAACCCTAAACCTTGCAGATCAACTTCAACCACCATTTTCATTTCAAACAGAGAGCTCTGAGGAAAGGCTCAGAATCTGAGAATGATCCGATTCGCGAGACCAAAACCTATAGTCGACTCAGTGAGTTACAATCTTCTCCAGAAATGTTACGCTAGTGGAACCCCTAAAGGAAAAGCGAAGCTGAAGACAGGCCAACCATTGAAACGCAACAAACTCACAATCAAGAAAGGCGGGAGCGGCAGTGGTGATGCGGCGGTAAGGGTAAAGGAAGAATATCACAGATGAGCAAGCAGAAGCTATACGATCAATGCATAAACGCTCCTTGTCCTGTTCGTTACCTAAGACCTAAGGAAAGAGAGCGAGAAGCGAAACGAGAGAAATTAGGGCTAATCAGCAAAGCGAGGCAAAAAGAGATTGATTTTCAGAAGAAAGGTGGATCTTTTGCGATGGGAGTTACTACTGAGCCGATGAGAATTGGGACTCAAGGATTGGATTACATTTCGTTAGGGATTTTTACGGAAGATGAGTTACCGAAGTATAAGGTTACAGTGGAGGATGGGATTAGACTTGCGAAAGAGTATAGTAGAGTGCTTATGAGAGAGCATAGAGCGAGACGTGTAGCGGAGATTAATTTGGTGAAGTTGAGGAAAGCTGCGATTGAGGCATTGCCGGAGAATTTGAGGAAGGGGGCTTTGGAGCGTGATTTGACTCCGTTTCCGGTGAATCGGGATTGGCTACTCTTACACCTCCTATTGAAGGGTATTTGGAGAAGATTATGAATGCGCGGCTAAGAAGAGCTCAAGTAAAGAGAAGTTGAGATGATCTTGATAAGGTTAGAGGAATTGTCTTTATGCCATTTGTTTTCTCTTGTTTATTTAGTGTTGGAGATGAGTTGTGTTGATTGGATTTCGATCAAAGGATATAACTTTGAGACATTTGTCTTTACTTTTTGATCTACTTGAAATAAAATGGCCATATGACAGTTACCAGTTACCACTATATGATTGAATATTAGTTGAAGCTTGAAAGTTTAATCTTTTTCTACATTCTTCCGTATCGGCTTCTGAGTGATGTATGAAGTTGTTTAGGATGTAAATGGAATTGTCGTCTTCTTCGAGGCTTTAACTGCATGTAGATTTGAGTCTTATTAAGCCTATCTATAGAACTCTTTCGTATCTCCTTCCTTGATCCTGTTTGCATATTCCTTCTTACAAATCTTCATTTTTTCAGAATTTTTTACACACCTCGATCTCTTGAGTTTACGTACATTTAGGATCTGTCTCTTCATATCTACTGACTTCATGTGATCAAATTAAAAAGTTAGGAGTGACCAGCTCAAACTTGGTGCAACCTTTTATCCTCACCAAAACCATATTCCTAGATAGTAATGAGCAATAAAAAAAACTCTAGAGTAACTTAGAATCTACACCAATTGCAGTTGTTTAATCCATATGGGAATTAGGGGTTTGTGCTTAGCGAGCTTTGTGGTGGATGTTATTTGTATTGTGAGAATTGTATAACTGAAGTTCAGCAGAATATTGTATTGTCCTGCATCTGCTCGTACTTATCCTGCATTTTCTACATCTTGTTACCTGGTAGATTGCAATGGCAGAGTCATAAATCTACAAAGACCATGATGCTCCGAGGAACATCATAGTTTGAAAGCTGGGGAAGTTAGTCATGAGTGAATCCTAGCCTGGCTAGTGGCTAGAATTCATTTTAAGCATAAAGCAGGAGAATCAATAGGAATGAAAGAGTCTTTGTTTAATCAGAGCATCTGTATGTTCTCTTTCTTCTCTTCAATGTCAAAAAAAAGGTACTCGATGTAGTACTCTACATAAAAAAAAAAACTTGAATCAATCTAAATTGAGATCCCTTCATGAAAGCCTTAAGGGATGTATTGCAACACCGTTCTGCGCAGATTTCAAGCAGCCCCATCTTCCAAGCCGTGGTTCCTGCCATATACCCAAAGTTCAAAAACACAACATGTTAAGATTGGCATTCACAGTTTCACACAGGACGAATACATATGTCTGGTCAGAGGAAAATGTGTACCTGTCCTACACCAGCAATCAGAAACTGGCCAGATTTTGCAAAAGCCAAAGAGTTAACAAACCCAGGCTGCAAAAGGATCATAAGCATTGGATGTAAGTAACATATGAATAAAACAAATAGCAATGAGAGCCGAGCTAGGAAACAAACTTACCAGTGGAAGCCCAAATGAAGGTTGTATAGCTCTAGATCCACTTTCAACACCCCATAAACGCACACAACCATCACCAGCTCCCGATGCAGCAAGATCGCTACCTCTACAGACAGCAACTGAACTGACCCAAGAACATGCTGATGTACAGTTATGGTTAACAGAATCATGATCAGCTATCACGTGGTGAGCATTCTTAACGATAAACACTGGTTTCTTATTCAAAATGGACCAAAGTGCAATACTTCCATTATCTGATCCGGCCAAAAACTCATCACTACTAACAAAACAGCAGCACTCAAGATTTGCTTCAGAAGCATCGAAAGATCAGATGAGTAGACTCAGGAATCTGATAGGAAACAAAAAACATTACTTAGATACAGATAAAGAGATCAATATGAAGTCTTCCACAACGCATACCTTGTATAACTGCAATGTTCTATCGCGTCCAACACTAAGAACACGCTCCCTTCTAGAGCATCAATGCTTAAAATTTCAGACTGGTGTCCAAAACTTGAGTCTATATATGTTCTATCTTCTGCATTCCATATCCGTAATGTTCGATCATATGAACCAGAAAAGAGTTCTGCAGTTCCTTCTCTAAAGCATAGACTAGAAACAATGCCACGGTGACCTGTAAAGCCTGCACTAGATACATATTTAAAGAGGCTGAGAGCAAGACACAGTGAACAGAATCATATGCATTAACTTGATTTTAAGTATGTATTACCTGGACATGCTCTCGTGTACGAATATCCCACAAATGAACATGGCAATCAACTCCTCCAGTCGCTAAATACCGACCATCAGAGCTAACTGCTAGCGCTAGAGATTGTTTGTTATGTCTTGTATTCCAAGATTCCTGGAATTTTAACCCGTGAGACTTCAAAACTTCATTGCTTGGCCATTTGTACTCGTCGCTTTTACCAGAAGATACATCCCAATGCAGAATAGTACCGTCTTTCGAAACTGAGAACCCTCTTGAATCATCATCTGATAGAGCTACTCCTGTAACAGATTGTTGGTGTTTGACTATAACACGAAACTCATCGCTACTCCGTGGTTCTTGAACCCTGACACGGTAAATTTTAATCAGAGTATCAGTACAAACAATCTCCAAGCCTGAATCGATGTAAAGAAGTAAAACTCAACACTTTCTTTCCAATCTCCTTCATAAAAAAAAAAACTAAACCTTAATGTGTTGTAAGAATATAAAATCAAGAAATTTCTTCACAATGTAACCTAATTCCTAACATTCCATAAAACCTAAATCACAAACATATGTGAAGTCTATGAATTCGTAGCTAAACCAATCTTGAGGATCGGAGTGGATTCAATATCAAAACCTCATAGGACTCAAATATGAAAATAGCAACTTTCTTCTTCACTACCTCGATGCAATGGCTCTCTGAACACGACCACTCTTCTCGAGCTGCTCCTGCATTAAAGTCTTCACCACAAGCGAATCTCTAACACCATCATCTTCCTCGTCATCTTCTTCACGCTCTTTCCGCTTCGCCTCTTCGATTCTATCCGAAGTTTCCTCCAAAAATCTCTTTCGTTTCTCACCTACCGTCTCATAGGCAAACTTATCCTCTATCTCCTCACCAACCTTTCCTTCCTCTTCAGATTCTACAGACTCGATATCATCATCATCGTAATTGAATTTTCCCAGATTCTTCGTCTCTTCGTCGAAAAAAGGATCTCGATCGATGGAACTCTTTTTCCCGATTCTCTTTGCCCCAAAGCCTTTCTTCTTCTCGTTCTTGAATTTCATTCTTCTCTCCTTATCTATCTCACACAAACGAGTAAAAGAGAACGCAGGGTTTAACCTCGGTGTTTAGTGTCGATGGAGAAAAAGAACCAGAAAGGAGTTTCAGTTTTTCTATGTTCTGTCTGAAACGAGAAACCCACAAATTAACCTAACTTTCCCCTCAAGCTTTAAACTATGTTTACTTCATGATGGGCCTGACGGCCCTGACCCTACACAAATTAGCAGGTTTCGATAGATTACATTGATATAAAACTATCTAATGGGAATCTTACCAAAAAAAAAAACTATCTAATGGGAAAATTTTACTTTCTGAAGAAATAAAATAAAATGTTCATATTGGTTGTACCAAACAAAAAAAAGATGTTTTGTTTGAAAAAAGTTGATTTTTGGATTCAAGAACAGCTTAAGAAGGTTTAAGCTATAAAGCACGAGTTAAACCAGACCCTTAATTAGTTATCAAGCAAACGTGAAGAAAATCTATTAACATATTGAAAGTCTAAATAAACCAAAGACATTACAATTCTTGAGAGAACCCTGATTAACCAAACGAGGAATCTGACGACAAACAATCCCAAAGCCAAACACTTTCTGTTTTGTAAGCATAACATTCACTTTAACATATAAACCAACTAGTGATCTACAGTTGCAGAACCAGAATTATCAGCAACAACACCACCTTCCTCAGCTTTCTGCAACGTCAGCTTCTCCTTCAACGTCGCCTTAGCTGTATCGTAAGTTGCGTGCAATCCAAACAAGACGTAATATACGAGAAGAATACCTGTCCAGATTGCAAACCTAACGAACGATTTTTTATCGATGGAACCAAGTAGAAAGATATTAATAGCGATCGAAGCAGAAGGCAACCACGGAACCAAAGGAACACCCCAAATTTTGGGAGCCCTAGCTTGCGGTACAAGAAACTTCATCCCAACTGTAGACAGAAACCATATAGGAACCGTAATGCAATACCCAATCCAACCCTCTTTTTCCAAAGCCCAATAAACACCAGTGGCGGTTGAGGACGCAAGAATCAAACCTAAGAACACTAAAAACTTATTACGGTCACGGGACGATGTTTCTCCGGTGACGTAATATCTTCTGACGAGAAGAGCCACAGCAACGAACATGAAGATGAAAAGTGTGGAAACAGACAAGAGATCGGCTAAAATTTTTAGTTTTGTGAAGAATGCGATGAGAGCTGTCGCGGCAAGCATTACCACAGGTCGCATTAATTGGTGTTCCGGTCTTTGCGTTAACTTGAGCTAGCCATGGAGGCATCATATGGGCTCGGGCTATGTGTGTCATGTACCTAGCTTGACCAATGGCTCCAACTAACAAAACCGTCGTCATACCTGAACATTTCAAAGATTAGTTTGGCTTCGCATAAGAGGTGTCATGAGTCAGATATGATCAAGGCCAAAATTGTTGTCATACCTTTAAGAGCACCAAACGCGACAATGTACTTAGCCCAATCCCATCCAACCGCAGAAAACGCAACTGAGAATGGCGCGTCCGGATCAATCTGTTGAAACGGTTGCATAAGACACAACGTAACCGCCATGAGACAATAACAAACTGTAGTAACCACCATCGATCCAACAAGACCAATCGGAATATCTCTCCCTGGATTCTTTGTCTCCTCAGCCATTGTTGAAACCGCATCAAATCCAATATAAGCAAAGAAAAGAACCGCGGCGGATTTAAACACTCCTCTAACTCCATAAGGAGTGAAATCTCTGTAGTTTTTCACATCGGCTTTAGTAAATCCGGCGATGATGACAAAGAGAATCACGACCATGTGGATTATAGAAGCAATGTAATTGAATCTTGAGGAGCCTTTCGTGCCAAGGACAGCTAAAACACAAATGATGGCGCAAACGCCGACTGCGATTGGATCTAAGTGGCTATAGTCTTCGCCGAGTCTGTGAGCTATGATGCGGAAGTCTTCAGGTTTATGGTTTAGGAGAGTGGCGAAGTAAGAGGTCCATGATCGAGCCACGGCAGCTCCGCCAACGACGTATTCGAGGATTATGTTTCCGGCGGCTATGAAGGCCATGAAGTCGCCGAGCTCCACTCTTAAGTAGGCAAAAGAACCACCTAAACATTCATGTGGTGTAAATTAAATTGGTCAGGTAAATTAAATAGTAAATACGAAATAAATTACATAAGAATTTTACAAAATAATTGTGGGCGAAGTAATGTATGCGTTTGAGTTTCCATTTACGTTAATATTTAAGTTTAGTGTAGAACCCTAAAAAATTGAATTCACAACCTTGAGTAATTAAAACTTTAAAAAAAAGAAAAAAAAAAAAAAACTGTTGACTCTACTTTCTACTTAGGACCAAACCATAATCTCTAGTGGGATTTCTCTATCAAGTGTTTCGAAAATGAATACATTTTTTTTGAAAAGTCCTCAATAACTTTTCAACTGTCAATACAAGCAATTTACAAGCTTGACTTATATAAGGTTTGAATGGTAATCTATTTTCAAAGTTGTACCCTTTGTACCGCTTTGACAATTACCGATCACAAAATTATATCAAAAATATTACTAAAAACGTTATTTTCAGTTTTTTTGTACAATTTTTATGTACAAGTACTCATTCATATAGTTTTGCATTATTCCTTAAAAATTTACCGCAAGAACTTACATTTAAAAAATTTGTACAATTTTATGTTATCAATCGGACGTACAGTAAACATTTATTTAGCTTAACTTCTTTGTCTTTATGGGAAAAGTCTTCTAGGTAAACCCCATAAATCTAAAAACATGGCAAGAAATCTTTTGCAACTCTAATATAATAATCAAATCATTCGATTGTGCAATTTGTGATTTGATGGTCAACAAGAACATAAGTATTGTAGGTACTATCAAATTAATATAATTAAAAAAAAAGAAAGATATACTGTGCGAGTGTGAACGACCCTCAGAAGTCAACTAGTTGACCCAAGAGATTCCGTCACGCTACGAGAGTTGAAAATTCAATATAAAATTCAAGAGTGTTTTTGTTCTATACTAATTTTGTAAGAATACTAGGATCATCGTAAAGTTTGAACCTAAATATTACAAGTAAGACAAATAACTATATTATTATGCGTTTAAAAGTAGTAAAAAGGCATAGTATATGGTTGACTCTATGTACATAAACAGTATATTTGATCGGTCATTATATAAGGTGGATTAAGCAACTGATTTTTGACTCCAAAAAAAAAAGCAACTAATTTAAAAATTTGTATGTAAAAACGTCTCTTTCTTTATAACAACCACTAGGGACATCCTAGAACATGGGGCAAACTTAATTCACATCGAGCAAAAAAAAAAATGATTTAACTTGCCGGAAAAATGAACCAATATAAATGATAGAATCAAATAAATTTAGCAATTTTTTATCGACGAAGTTGTCAGAATTGTTACGTCTGCATATTTATTAGCAGGATCTTTCGTAATTATACGCCACATTTTTCTATTCCCTAATTATGACACTCCAAGTGTATTATATTGCTAGAAAAGATATCCTAAAATATGCGTTTTCGGTTAAATATATAAATCGTAATTAAAAGAAAAATTAACAAGCTAAGATAGTGCTTAAAAGTATTTTCCCTATTATCTTCCCACTTACGAAAATAATCTTAAAACATGTTGTCTGAAAATTTTCTAGAAATTCGCAAATTTATGACCGACGCTACAAAAACATTTTTTTTTTGAAACGTCTGATTTTTTTTAAAAAATGTTCTTATCGTAATTACTTTTGAAACTTTCAATATCAAAATTATTAAAAATCAGAAACAGAGTAAAATAAGATTTATTACCAGCGACGGGAATCTCAACGGCGAACTCGGTGTAACAAAAGACGGAGAGCATGGCGGAGACACCAGAGACGACGTAAGACAACACAACGGCGGGACCAGAAGCATTACGTGCTTCGAGTCCGGTGAGAACGAATATCCCGGAGCCGATGACTGCACCGATACCAAACCACATCAGATCCCACCACGTCAACGTTTTCTTCATCTCGTGACCACTACGAGCCTTCATCTCGTTAATCTCGTCGGAGTCTAGTGACCGAGTCATAATACGATCCATGAACCGACTCGGTGTTTCTTTAAGGGCTTTTAGGTAATTTCCCATACTTTGGAACGATTCCTCCGGTAAGAAATCGTCTTTTGTACATGAACAGCCTCGCCGACGAAGCCCGTCGTCACCACCGTGTTCCGCTGCCATATTTTTTGGTTACGTTGTAATGAAAATTATTTTGATCTAGATTCTGATTCAGATTCAGAATCTGAGATCCGTTTATTCTCTAGAGTGAATGGTAAGAAGAAACTGAAAAGGAAAAAACTCTTTAATTTTTGTAAATAAATAACAGAAATTTTGGGTTCCTAATTCCTAAAGTCTGCCTTACTTATAGTAGCTATCCTTTGACATGTTTCTTTTATTTATTTATTTCTGTAAATTATTTGTTATTAACAGTTTTGTGTAATTAGCTGGAAATGCGATACGGTAAATTAGTTTAATTATGGAAACCTTAAATAGAATCCAAATCCATGAGCTTTTGTTGTATGGTCACTAGTTGGTAGCTGCATTCTTTGACCACTTTTTTTCTAAGAAAAACAGCGAAAATCGAATTATAAAGGGAATGTGAATAAAATCTGGTGTGCCAAAAAAAAGAAAAGAAAAAAAAGTTGGTAAGAGATTGTTTTTTTTTTTTTTTGCTAAGATTAAGACTAAGAGATCATGTGTGATTCGAAATTTTCCTTCGGATCACAACATACTTTATGTGGATCAATTAAAATTATTTCCGATTTTAGTAAAATGTTCAATCTTGTTTTCACAAAATTATGATAAAAAAAAACTATATGTTTAGTTCAAGATATATGAAATTGATTGGTTTTAATTTAATCTCGACTTAGTTGATAATTAGGTTCATAATTCACACCAACCATTACCGCAATTGCTCCTCCTAATTTCACAAGCGCGTCAAAAGAATGATTTAGCCTCCCCTACTTTTTAAGTTTTTTTCTAAATGTTACTTCCTCCATTTTTGTATTAAACGATGTCCAAGAACTTCATACCTTTTTTTAATTTCTTTTGTGCCTCCAATAAACTAAAACAAAAAAAAAGATCATGCATCATGTCTGTTATGTGAATTTAAAGAGCGTTAAGTAATTAGAACGTAAACTAGATTTGGGAGCTGGAATCAAAGAAGAATGTGTAACTTGTAATTGCGGAAATTTACATAAGAAACCCATAAATTGATGTGAGTCCTAGCATTAAATCAAGATATTATATTTGAGCATAAGTTTAGGTAATAAAGAAATTCAATCTTAGTTTTCCTAATTGCAAAAACGAAGAATAAGTTTGAAGCATGAAGTAATTTTTTTTTTGTGGGTTAAAACATCAAAAAAATATTCGTGTCATACAAAACGACAAATAATGCAAAAAAAAAACTAGATATTGAAAGTTAGAGAAAAGAGAAGAAAGCCTATCGAGTTTTAAGTTTGTTTAGGTCGTATACAAAATTTTATACAATGAATCAATAATTTACTTTTTTAAAAAATATATACATAGTCTAACTAGTATGTCAAATAAATAGCAATTTTAGGTTTTTGGCGGGAAAATGTAATTCTAAAAACATACGTCATACCATGTAAATTTAATGGGCATTTATTCTTTTTTGGACCTTGTTGGACATCTTGTTTAAAAACATACGTCATACCATGAAAAGATATATTTTTTTTTTTTTTTTTTTTTTTTTTTTTTTTTTTTTTTGTGTGCAAAACCATGTAAAGATAAGATAAAAAAATAATACTAATCCTTAAGACCACGACGAATCTTGATCCACATGGAAATATTATCTCAGGTCAACCGTAGTCTGTAGTGAACCAGTAGAATTTTGAAGTCAAACCAGTTTACTCTTAGATCAAAGCAATCAAGATTCGTCCAGATACATTCAAGAATTAATAATTATTTCTGGATCAAACTTATCATCATTCAGCTATACCTTGTTTCATATACTCACCGGTTGACAAATCTCACAAATTTAGAGAAACTGACAATTGGACTGATTACAAATTTAAACCCAACTTGAGTGGTAAAACATTCTTTTGATTCAGCTAAATACCAAACAGCGAACATCCTACTAATTTCAATTATATACCAAACCGTAACATCCTTTTATTTGCAACACCACTAGGAGTTGATACTTGATAAGTAGAGAGGTTTTGCAAGGGTTTTTTTAGTTAGGGTTTTAGCCTTTTAGAATACATAATCCCGATTTAACAAGTGACAAGATTGTAACAAACAGTCAGGGATTGCGAATAAAGCTGTGTGGAATTTAATCGCCACTAGCGCATCCTTGACACCCGCAGTGAACGCATTCGACCACTTTCTCTTCACGCAAGTGTTTGGGAACACGACATACACATGTTGTTCCATAGTTGTGGTCTCTAGGCTGTATGCAGCGCAAGCAGCATAAACGTTCATATCCCGACTGCAAATCACAAAACAGCGAGTTTGCTTAGTATCAAAGTAATGAGACATGTATAAATGACAAAAATCTTAGTTCAATGAAAGAAAACAAAAGTGAAATCTAGATAAATGTCTGAATAGTAGGACCTAGAAAGAGATAATACAACTGAACTGACAGGGAAGAGTTTATTAATAAACGGTTCATGAGAGACAATCATAAAGATGTCAGGGTATTGTTAGAACTATCCAAAATTTGGCAAATCGTAGAGGCAATTACTCTTACTAATTCAAACAAATATAGGGACATATCTTAAGCACTTTGTCTAAAGTATAATTACCAGAAATCTTGTTTCTTCACCAAACAAAACAACAATACAGATTCTACAACATATTTGTTAGTGAGATCATTGCAAGCAAGTGCATATATACTAAGGACATAAATTTCAGAGAAACAGTTACAAGAATCATTGTGCAGTAAGGCGATACTAGGCCCTATAAACTAATTTAACAATACTTTACATATCCTCAGTTCAATGTCCTATGCAAAGCAACTATAGAAACTCTAAATCACTTCAATTTGGCCTTAGGCAACTAACTAAAAGTCTAAAAGTGGTGCACAAATCAAAACGCACCTTTTTCCATTTGGCAATGAGACTGCGATCTGCATAGCCCTGGTCCAAGCAGAACTCATAGAGCTCTTTAGATATTTCTTCCCGTCGGTAATAAAGGTCATACACATAACGACTCCTCTGATGAGAGACTTTGAAGATTGGCCATAAAGTTTCACACTTTCTCTTGCCATCATGTGAATCTGTCTCAGCTGCACAATGAACCCAAAAAAGTTAGAGCACAAGCAAAGTTCAAGAAACAAACTAATAGCAACTGAGATTGAGATATATCAAAATCTTAAATCAAAACTTAACCTTCTCTCATCTTGGCGTCTAGCTCTCGGAGAGTAGGCTCAATCAACTCCCATCCTTCTGGGTACTTGACTCGGTTAGTTTTAACCTTTGGCATTTTCTACAGAACGCAAATTCACAACGTTAAACGAAGGAACAAATTAAGCTAAGTGGGTATCTAAACAAGAAAAAAGTAAACATCTTTAAACAAAACGAGAGATTCTAAGACTTTCATAGTTCCAAAGAAATTCTTAATTAAGCAATTGAAACTAACAAGCAAGGACGTTTCCAAAAATTAGGGTTTCTGCGTCAAGGCTACAATCCAACAGATCCCGATTAAAATCCAGAACAGTCTAGGTAAAGTTTCAGTAGTAGAAGAGGAACAATTAGGGTTTATAATCTCTGTGATTTGGGATCGACACAAACCTTAAAAAAAGGGAGAAACTTTAGGGTTTAGAAACGAAACGAGAGCAGAGTGCTGAGCAAGATTGGTATAAGAGAGAAATCGAAGAAGCTTACCTTTGGACAGGACGAGGGAAGTTGGACAAGGAAAGATCGCGGCGCAGGACAAAGGGAGAAGAACCAACGTCGTAGAAGCAGAAGTCTCTTTAGGGTTGTTGTGTTCGGAAATCGGTATAACGAGTGGGTTTATCTTGGGCCGGTTTTATTTTTTTACTGTTATCTTTATTTGGATAAAGACATTTCATAAAGTTTTCTGAAAATCAATTGTAACATGGAAAATTTTAGGAAAATCAGTTTAAATGATAAATTTTTTTCTTTTTTAGCATTCAATTTTCAGGAATACTGTAGTGAATTTTGTATTTCCATTTGATTTCTTCCTATGTCCATGGTGATTTTTGAAGGCTTACAAAGTTAAGTAGAATGTGGAAGTAACAAAACCCATTATAAATGCAAATGAAAATCCCCAAAATATTGGAACTTTTATAACATCAAACATGTTCAGCTTTTGACATTGTCTGCAACTAAGCAATTATTTGGCAAAAAGCAATAAACAGCTTCAAGAAAAAGACCAGTGCAACCTTAGTCTGCTACTGCATATGGCAGTCACTGATACATTGAGAAACCAAAAACATATAGTAAAAAAGGAAAACCAACAAGCTGCTTATTCCTTTTTGCCGATTCCATTAGACATGTTGTAGATTCCTGTTCCCTGTATTCAACCAAAACAATTCTTCAATAGTTAGATGATGAACAAGGTTAAAGAAAGCTGAGTCAATATCGATAACATCTATTGGCGAGAATGAATACATACATAGTTTTGCAAACCAGCAAAGAAATGAACTTACAATCATGTAGAGAGAACTTGCAGCCAAGGCAATAGGAATAGCAACGGAAGTGATCTTGTCCATTGGTCCTTTCAAGTAAGTGTGCCTCTGGATGCTCTGGAACAATCTCTGCTTCTCCAGAAGCTTCTCTCTTGGCCTAAATGGAGTTTCAGTCAACATGATCTGCAATTCTATAGCCACGCAAAAACCATTATCGTTCAAGTCATTTATAAACAATAACATACTGATAACACAAACTATTTGATAAAGTATAAAGTAGTATTCAAATCAAGACACTAAATTGATAACGATTATACATTGAAATTGTTCTTGTGACATCATTTTGATCAAAAATGTTTTATGCCCTTCAAAAGGGCAATGATAAAGCCTCAAAATCAGGGCTGGATCTGAGTGAAATTACGATTTCTACATCGCAGACATCAAATCAACGCAATTAACAAACTTTACGGTGAAATCCCGATTAATTTAGGTCAAATTTCAACAATCTAACGGGAACAAATTAGGTTTATCATTCTCTGAAAGTTGAGATCGACACAAACCTTTGAAAATGAAGAAAACCAACGATTACAAACGAAACAACCCGATTGATTGCGAAATCAAAATCGATCTACGAGGAAAATCTCAGAAGGTTACCTGAGAGAAATTAATCGAGGAGAGAAGGGAATTTCGAGAGGGAGAGAGAGTCGCAGCGAAGATCGATGACGAAGAACAACAAATGGCGATGAACTAATCTTAGCTCTTAGGGTTGGGTTTATCAAATGTTATCAAATTGGGCCAGGCCCAAATTGATTAGAGAATCAACCTTCTAATTTCAGTTATATACCAAACCGGAGCGTACCGTACCGTCATTCTAATTTCAATTTTCTGATCTGAACCGGCCGTTCTTCTTAACCTCTTGCGTTCTTCGCCTCCTCTCTCATTTTGCATCGTCTCTCTCTCTTTTCTCTTACCTTTTTTTCGTTTAAATCTCAAAGAGAATCCAGAAGCTTCTTATAAAAGAGGCGGGAAATTTCTCACGCGTGTTGCATAGAAAGCGAAAACCTAGTTTTTCTGGGCGAAGAAGAAGATGAGCGTATGGAACTACGCCGTTACGGCTCAAAAACCGACCTGTGTCACTCACTCTTGCGTCGGAAACTTCACCAGTCCTCAAGAACTCAATCTCATTGTTGCGTATGGAACTTCTCTCCTCTTCTTTTTCTTTTCTTTCTTTCCTTTGTTGTCTATCTTTTGTGTGCAGATGTTAATTTGGGGTTTAGGGTTTTTAGGGAAGCTAGTTTTCTCATCGGTTGGTTTATAATAGTTTACTCTCATTGCATCTGCTTTGAGAGCTGAGTATTGGGTTTGTATGATCTCTCTGGGATTCTCTGATCTGTTGGATGGTTGTTTATGTGGGAAATGTACTTACAATCGATTCACCAGTTGATCTATCAGTGACTGCTCTAGATTTGATTTCATGTTAAAGAAGGCACGCTAATGCTTTTGATGATATAAAGTTCCTTCATTCAGGGGAATTTAAGTTTTGTTTGCATACAGTTCTGTGGTTACCATCTAGTATCTTCTTCTGGAGCTGGTTCATTTGCTGTTAGTTGACAACAATGTTAAAACCTTTTCAGGAAATCCACTCGAATCGAGATCCATCTGCTTTCTCCACAGGGACTTCAGGTACTTTATAATCTCTTAATCTAATGATCTGTATTGTTTTTTCTTTTCTCAGTGCGGTTAAAGATAATCTCATTTTAACTTTTAATATATTCAGTTCCTTGGATTTAGAGTGAAAATGTGAAAAGTTATTGTTACTTTTAGTCTTATTTCGGATAAATAGAGCTCCCCATATGGATTGGAGATGTTGAGTGATTTAGACTTTTGCAGACTATACTGGATGTTCCTCTATATGGGAGGATCGCCACTTTGGAATTGTTCCGTCCCCATGTGAGTATATTTTTCTTATTGCATACTTTTCTCAGTCTGAGGTAATAGGTAAGTGACAATGTTAATTGATAGTACTTCATATTTTGCAGGGTGAAGCACAAGATTTTTTGTTTGTTGCAACTGAGAGATATAAATTCTGCGTTCTTCAATGGGATTATGAGTCGTCTGAGCTTATAACAAGGTATAGTTTGCCAAAAAATATCAACATTTCATGCTATCAGATGACGTAAAGCAATCGGATGTATTATACATCTTTTGATTATGCTCCTGTAATGTTAGTTATTCGAATTTAGTGTTAGAAAGGGATCACATTTTAGTAACTATGTGCATAGTAGTGCATGGGATCAGGTTGTGTCTTTTAGATAAAAGTTCATCACGTGTCTTATCTGTTCAGAATGTGTTCTAGGATCCCAGTTACCTTGGGTCATTTATGTATCTGTACTTTGTTGTATATCCAAATCCTGCAAAAAACTTCTCTGGTGCAAACATAGTTGTTGCTTACTGTTACTATACCAACTGACTATCCTTTCCTTTACCGTTAATTCTAAATATCTTTTGAACATTTTACAGGGCAATGGGGGATGTTTCTGATCGTATAGGCCGACCGACAGACAATGGTCAGGTATTGAGTTCAGTATTACTGCACTGTATCTTTCATAGTGGCTAGATTTTGATTTTCCTTCTTCAGTTGTATATGTGCTATAATTTAACGGTTATGTGGCACGTTTGAGCTGAGTCTTCACTTGACACTGATTTTGCAGATTGGTATAATTGATCCTGATTGCAGATTAATTGGTCTGCATCTGTATGATGGCTTGTTTAAGGTATGGTATGCTAGTTTGCTGTTTATATCATATTACTGAACTTCCATTGATCAATTATTTTAGACACTATTTAAGGTTTGTTCTATTCTTGGGTTCCTCGGTTAGGTCATTCCATTTGACAATAAAGGACAGCTCAAGGAAGCTTTTAACATAAGGTACTGTTTTTCAGTTAAAATGCTGCAATTTTTTGACTATCAAGCTTATGTTTTGCTCTGTTTGTTTTTTGCTGGTTAATCGTCCACATTGTGTGTGCTCTAGTGCACCCATGTTTCCATGCATCAGCTTCTGTCCTAAACCCTCAATTGACTCAGTCAATACTCTTGGTTTCTTGCAGATGTGGTTATTTTGAGGAACACAACACTGAATCTAATATTGACTATGTTGCTTAATTTCAGGCTCGAGGAGTTGCAGGTCCTAGATATCAAGTTTCTGTATGGATGCACAAAGCCAACAATTGCAGTACTTTATCAGGTTAGCATACATATTATAAATGGATATGCTATGGAAACTGTTTGTTAATCATATATATTTATTTCTTTCATGTACGAACCTAGTTCTGTAAGCAATATTGTTCAAAGGAATCTGTTTTCTTTTTTAATACCCGCTCTGTTGGTAAGCTGGCAGAAATTGGGCAAATTAGCTCTGCTGTATTTTTAAAATAAACTACATCTTGGTTTACTTTACTAATGCAATGTGATGCACTTGAGGTTGTTTGCTGGGTGAACTAATTAATGTTTGGGGTTACAGGACAACAAAGATGCTCGTCATGTCAAAACATATGAAGTTTCTCTAAAGGACAAGGACTTTGTCGAAGGTCCATGGTCACAGAACAATCTCGACAATGGTGCTGACTTATTGATCCCTGTACCTTCACCTCTGTGTGGCGTCCTCATCATTGGAGAAGAAACAATTGTCTATTGTAGTGCCAATGCATTCAAAGCAATACCAATAAGACCTGTAAGTTTTTTTTACGTTATGTCATCTGGTCCTATAAACATTTGCATAACTTTTCAGTGAGTACCCGTTTTAATTTTCAATTTTGGCATGTGACTTCAATTTGTATGTCCAGTCCATCACAAAAGCATATGGAAGAGTTGATCTTGATGGTTCTAGGTATCTTCTTGGTGACCATTCCGGACTGATTCACCTGCTTGTTATAACCCATGAGAAAGAAAAGTGAGTTGATATTACAAAGCTCTTTTTGTTTTTTTCATCTACAAAGCTCTTTTGAAATGAATGATAATGTGGATATTCTGGCTTTATTTATCTGAAGGGTCACTGGCCTCAAAATTGAGCTTTTGGGTGAAACCTCGATTGCATCTTCCATCTCGTATCTTGACAATGCTGTCGTCTTTGTCGGTTCAAGCTATGGAGATTCTCAGGTACGCTAGGATTGAATATGTTTCTCATTACGTCTTTGAAACATATTTTTCTTGAAGAGTGTAAACTTATATAGTTCTATGGTTACCATTATCCTAGTTAATTGTGTTTCAATTGTTATTTTTCTTTGAGTTCTAATAAATACAAGCTTTGAAGCAGCTGAACGTTTTCATTTTTTATTTTCTCATTGCAGCTTATTAAGCTAAACTTGCAACCGGATGCAACAGGGTCATACGTAGAAATTTTAGAAAAGTATGTCAACTTGGGGCCTATTGTCGACTTTTGTGTAGTTGACCTTGAGAGACAGGGGCAAGGTCAGGTTGTAACTTGCTCTGGAGCATACAAGGATGGTTCTCTTCGCATAGTTCGCAATGGGATAGGAATAAATGAACAGGTTTGATATATATTAGGATTGTCATTTTGTCTTAATGTCATGTAAGCAATATTCTCATCTGATGTAATCTAATAAAACTCTGCTGTATTGCAGGCGTCCGTGGAACTTCAAGGCATCAAAGGAATGTGGTCGTTGAAATCGTCAATTGATGAAGCCTTTGATACATTCCTTGTAGTTAGTTTTATCAGTGAAACTCGTATACTAGCCATGAATATAGAGGATGAACTGGAAGAAACGGAGATTGAGGGTTTCTTGTCTCAAGTGCAGACTTTATTTTGCCATGATGCTGTCTACAACCAACTTGTACAGGTATGTTTTGCCAGTGCTCATTCATTAGTTTCTATACCTTTGCTTGTAGCTTGATTTCACCAGTCAGGGAAAATTTCGTCGAATTATAGATGATAACTCTGTGTTCTCTGGATTTCCCTGCACTATAGTGTTTTATTGACTTAGGATTGATCAGGTTATGTTTTAGGTCTTCCAAAGCGAATCAAATGTAGGAGTGCTTGTGTATTTCATCGGTGTTGTTTTTCTTCAGACATCGTTTCCTGTCTGCTATATTGTTCTATCCTATCTTTTCCCCTCGAATGCACTAACTACTATCTTTCCTTAATCAGGTTACCTCAAATTCTGTTAGATTAGTTAGTTCTACAACTAGAGAATTGCGGAATAAATGGGATGCCCCAGCTGGATTCGCTGTTAATGTTGCAACTGCAAATGCGAGCCAGGTTTGTCTTTCTTTCTTTTTTTCTAGCTGCTATATTTAAAATTTGGCCCAGAAAAGAAGAATTCTAGAAGTTTTTTATGAAAGGGATATTGTTTTCTTTCTCAAACTTGTAACTTCAGTATCTTTCTCGATTCTAGACATGCAATGTGATTTGGAATGATATACTTGTTAGGTTCTTTTGGCCACTGGAGGTGGGCATTTGGTCTATCTAGAAATTGGGGATGGGACATTGACGGAAGTCAAACATGTCCTGTTGGAGTACGAGGTTTCCTGTCTTGACATCAACCCCATTGGCGATAATCCTAATTACAGTCAGCTAGCTGCAGTCGGGATGTGGACTGATATAAGTGTGAGGATTTTTGTGCTGCCGGACTTGACTCTTATTACTAAGGAGCAACTAGGAGGAGAGATAATTCCCCGATCTGTTCTTCTTTGTGCATTTGAAGGGGTATGATTTTCTTCAAATTTTTGTGGAATGGCCATCTTGCTTGTTAATGTAGCCTTTGGTTGCCATCCTAATAACAGTGGTATTA